GTAGAATTTTTTGAGTGTAGAGGTAACTCTAAGATTAGTAGGTCCCTAAGAAACGTGCTCAACTTTTTGGCTCAGCTCTGGTACTATCTTCGGTCCCAAGCTAATCGATTCACCCCTCGAAACATAGGAAAAACCACTAACCCCTCATTTTATCTGTCAAACTTTCATATGAATCAAAACAAACATTGTGTAGTACTAGAATTTTGACTAGAATGGGGTACGTTAATCGTTTGCTTGGGACCAATAGGCTAGTCAAGTAGTGAGCCAATTTAAAATCGATAGTTTCGTATTGATTGTTGGTATTACCATAGAGGTAACTCTAAGACTAGAAGGTCCCGAAATAACGTGCTCAACTTTTTGGCTCAGCTCTGGTACTCTCTTCGGTCCCAAGCTAATCGATTCACCCCTCGAAACATAGTACGTTAATCGTTTGCTTGGGACCAATAGGCTACTAAAAAGGTGAGCCAATTTAAAATCGTCAGTTTTGTATTGATTGTTGGTATTACCATGTGTTCAGGGAGAAAGAATTGTCCGAATTGTGTTTGGCGGTGGGAGGGATTAGCGTGGAGGATACTTACACCAGGGGAATTGGTGTGTTATTTTTAGAAAATAATGAATATTTAGACCATTAAGGTGATCGATCGACTTGACTTTATCCGAAATGTGTCCCCGAAATGTAGATTTATTTGAAATAGCAGTTCATCTGGCAGTTCATTTACTCATCATCAACCGTTTTCACGACTCAGTAGAAATTGACCAACTCATCATAGTTATAATTCTCCAGCAGGTCTATCAACTGCGGCAGTTTCGCCTTCACATTGACGCCTTTGAACTTGAACTCGCTTGAACTTATCAATGCACAGATCGGTCAGAATCCCGTAGATGCGGTTCAGTATCGTGGGCTGCTTCTTAAATTTGGTTTCGATCTGTCAACAGATTCCGATATTTTTCCGACAGGGTTTCGAACTCTTCATCGTTTCGAATGTCCAAATCCATCAGTGCCTGCAGTATCTGGTAGTCCTTCGTCAGCTTGTTATAGTGAACGATCTTCGGTTCGATCAACTTGATTAATCCGGGAAGCGTTTGCTAGTTGATAACTGAAAATGGTTGCTACGCAGTTATCAATCAAATAGAATTTGTTGAAAGGTGTTACTCACTGGTTGAAATCTCCAGCTTTATCCGTTTCTTGGTGGCTTCCTTCGTAATAAAGTCCTTCAGAATCGAAATGGTAGCAATGTTGTCGCTTCTGAAGTTCGCTTCCGAATGGCCGTATTCGCAAATCAGTACCGTTCCGATGAATACGAGCCGGTTCCTTTCGTTTCCATAAATCTTTTCCGGTATTTCTGGGATACTGTTCATCAACCAGTTGTGCAATTCAATCTGACTGAAAGCCCTCTTGAGAGAGAACACATTCATAGGTCTAGATGCGATCTCGTCTGCATCAGAGGTTCTGCGATTTTCGAACTCCACCTTTTTCACTCCACCGAGAATCTTGAGTCCACTCGTTCACAAATAACAGCAAAGGAGTCGGAGGAGGATCTGTCATTATCAGCGTTATGTTGTTATGGTTGAGGATATAGTTGCCAGTATTTTTTTTTTGGTTGAAGTTTTGACAGCTCGGTCAACACGACGAAACACCTAGAAACACCTTCCGACACCCAAAAACACTCATGAAACACAATAAGCACAGACACAAGGTGGCAGAGTGACTTACCCCCTGGTCTATGCCGATTGTTCCGGTCCGTATTTACATTGCTTGCTTCCTGTACTTTTGTTTTTTTACGGCTGGCTTGTAGGGCACCAACCCCCATTGTCTCGCCGGGGGACCATCGTGCACAGCACTGTTTAGAGTCCCACGCTGGCACCAGGACGTTGATCAGCCGCTCCTAACATGGAGTACAGACGCCGTTTTGAGCCGCACCTCCATGGTGAACAGACGCTCGAACTGCACTCCCCGGAGAGAGGAGTCTCCCCCTTCCCTGTCAGCATACGACCAAGGTCCCACCGGGGTTGGTTACCCGATCTTCCCTATAGTTACTCGTACCCCAGCCGGCACCGCTGGGAGGTAGGGATAGGAGTTACTGGACAAGACGCTAAGGAACGCTAGTGGGGATACGCGAAGTATCAATGGTACGCATTGCATTGTCCAGCCGAACCGAAGTCCTATATATATATGTGGTTGCACTACGATTTGATATTTTGTACTCTAAATTAACCTGTCTATTCTGACATTCTTAGAGGTGTATTAATCTAAGCGGATTCAAAACCTGCTAATCGGTATTTTTCGATAAAAGTTTGATTTATACGGTTTCTCAAATAAATGATTAACATAAGGATCCAAAATGTGCTTCTGGGCTACGTCCCTCCCCTTGGCTAGTTTTTGCACCTTGCTGTTGGTGGGCGAGCTTAATTTCATGTTTTATAGTGGAGTGTTGGAGACGGTAGGTTTATGGTCGGCGTTTCTGGCTCATGCCGCGATAGAAATGCGTCATGGGCAGGCAATGGGGATTACTAAGCTTCCCTTCTCTGATAAACCACTGCATGAGAGAACCAAAGATCTAGTCTAGCAGTGATAGTATCACACTTGTTACTCCTTTAATTGAGAGCCGCGTCGTAGTACGCTTATGTATATTCACTGACGTTGGGTGTGATATAGACTGTTCCAGAAAGTATAAGCAAACTTTCAAAATAACAAAAAAGTCATGTTTTTTTAAGTTTTAATAATTTTATTTGGCAAATCATATTTGCATTTGTATTTCAAATGATATTTTACTCTCGTTTAATCAACATATTTAATCATAGCCAAGACTCCTAACTTTTCCTCGATCATGACCCATTAGCTTCTGCACAGTGGTACTTCCCACCATTTTGACCACTTTTGGCCAATCTTTTTTGAATTTTTGGATGTCGTCCGCTGGTTTTATTAATTTTCGAAGCTTTGCTTTGGTTAAAGCCCAAAAAGTCTCGATTGGCCGTGCCTCCGGGCTGTTCGGCGGATTCATGTCTTTCGGCACGAAACATACATTTTGACTTTTGTACCATTCTAAAGTGTCCTTTGCGTAATGACATGACGCCAAATCAGGCCAAAATACTACTTGACCTTCGTGCTGCCATCGGCAACAATCGCTTCTGGAGACATTCCTTAACGTATTTCTGAGTGTTCATCGTCTCCGTTGTGATGTACGGACTAGATTTTTTACCACACTCGCATATTGCCTGCCAAACCATAACCTTCTTACCGAATTTTTCGGTAAAAATTGCCTTCTCCGTTTCGGGGATGTCCTTGCCTTCGCTTACAGTATAGAATTGTGGTCCGGGAAGCGTTTTGTAATCTAGTTTCACGTACGTTTCGTCGTCCATTATTATACACCCAGAGTTTCGACACAATAACGAATCGAAGAGTTTGCGGGCCCGTGGTTTCACGGACGCGGCCTGTTTTGGGTTCCTTTTGGGTTTTTTCTGCTTCCGGTATGTTTTTAGCCCAAGTCTTTCTTTGGCACGCATGACGTTACTCGACGAGGTCCCTAGTTTTTTCGCAACATCCCGAACGGAAGTCGCTGGTTTTCGTTTGTAGGCATCCCTGATCTTTTTATCGATATCCGGACTTACAGGACCGGATTTCCGGCCACACTTCGGCGCATCTTCAAACGTACACTGTTCTCTATATTTTTTAATCGCAGTTAGTACCGCTCCGACGCTTACACCCTCTTCCTTGGCCAATTTTCTCAAGAAGGGTCCGCTCACAGTGCACCATTTGTGCACGATACTTTTTCGTTGTTCCGGTGTAAGACCACGCATTTTGACAGGAAACACAAAACTGAGCACTTGTTTGATGCTATGTCATTCGGAAATGGGCAAACAAAAGGACGCAGCCAAAACATGTTGAAATATTTCATTATTTTCAAAGTGACCGTTAAAATAAGGTGTGCTTATACTTTCTGGAACAGTCTATACTGGCGGGTTTTGCCGCAAATCACTCTTATTTTATTTATTTTTACGCAGATAGCTTTATTTGGGTTTGCAAGGGAATTATAACAACAATAGCAACAATCAATACGAAACTAACGATTTTAAATTGGCTCACTACTTGACTAGCCTATTGGTCCCAAGCAAACGATTAACGTATCCCATTCTAGTCGAAATTCTAGTACTACGCATTTGTTTTGATTCGCTATGAAAGTTTGACAGATAAAATGAGGGGTTATTGGTTTTTCCTATGTTTCGAGGGGTGAATCGATTAGATTGGGACCGAAGAGAGTACCAGAGCTGAGCCAAAAAGTTGAGCACGTTATTTCGGGACCTTCTAGTCTTAGAGTTACCTTTATGATTGGATGGTGCATTTATGCATTGATGCATTAACTTACGCATTGGTAAATTTTACTACGCAATGATGCATAAAGTGTTGTTCAATAGCTTTCAATTCATCCTTAGTTTGAATAATTGTTGTACATAGACCGAGACAAAACTCCTAGAGAAAATTAAAAGTTACCCTTCTTATCAACCTTCCTGAACCAAATTAATCACCAGGACAGAACGAAGGTCATCGTTCTCCATCATTCCGTCATGTCTAATTCTGAACCGCAACTTCCGAATCCGGTGCAATTTTTTCATCACTCCATCATTAAGAGTTCCTTGCCATTCTCGAAACTAGAACCCCCTCCAGTCGACAGAACGTAAAAGCAATCATTCACCGAAATCCTATTCAACCCAATCACTCTTTTCCCCGCGGAGGTCGACCGTAATCTCGAAACCAATAAAACATACGATTACCCAAAAGTCACAACATTGTTCTGTTTCATCTCGTTTCACTTGATAAGTAGGTATTAGTTCTCCTGAAGTTCCATGTTGTTTCGGGACGCATTTCACAATTAGTCGTTTACTGGGCTGATATGATAAGATTCGATTATTTTTTTTGGGTTGTGGAATTCCGGCATCACAATCATCCCGTTCCCGTTCGCTTTCACTTTATAGGAAAAGATCAGCCAGTTGCCGATCGACGCTCCGGCCGGAATAACGTGCTTACTACTTAGCTCTCACGCTGTTGCATTCTGAATTCTGGAAGATTTCCTAGAACCGTTTCAATTTTCTCAAGTGGTTGATCGAGTTATGTAACGCTTTAGCGATGTGGAGTGTTCAACGGATTTCAGTGCATTTCCTTTTGCTGGTAGCCGGTAGCTGTTTGGCTGTGGGAAAATTCTGCAACGAAGTTGAAAAGTAGTGCAACGCAAAATGTGCCCCATTTACAGAAGTGTTGCTAAAATTTTGAAAATTGATTTCAGAGTACCGAAGTTAGTGCAAACTGTGAACAAAGGAGTGGAATATGGAGTGTGCAACTACTACTGCATGTTCTCGGAGCATAGTTTCACGGTACCGGTGCCCATTGAGAAGATGTCGTGTGCTGTGAGTTGCCCGGTTTTGTGAATGATTAGAAATAAAATGGATGACTAAAAGTAGTGACTTTTCCTTTCAATTTATAGTTGGAATACGAAACCCACCAGAAGCAGGTCTGCTGCGAAGGATATCACCGTTACGGGAGTGAATGCTTACCTACCTGCAAGCACAAGTGTATCTTCGGCGAATGCACTGCACCGGAAGCGTGCAGCTGCTATGGTGGCTATCGGAAAGTGAATGAATTTCTGTAAGTGAAGTTTTCATCCACATCCATGAAGAATGATTGAAATGTGATTTTACGTTTCTCCGCAGTTGTGAGCCGATCTGTGAATCGCCATGTGATAATGGTCGTTGCGTAGCGCCAAACTCCTGCGTCTGTGATGAAGGTTTCGAGAAGGATGAGCACGGGGAGTGTGCGAGGAAATGTGAAAAGGAATGTCAATTTGGGCGGTGTGAGGAAAATCAGTGTCGGTGTTATGAGGGATACGCGTTGGATCCGGAAAACGATGGCCGCTGTGTTCCGCAGTGCGAACCGGAATGCCAGAATGGGAACTGCGTTCAGCCGAACGTTTGCCAGTGTGCAGCAGGTTGGTGTGATATATTTATTTGTATTTTATCCACGACCCATGAGATCAAGCCATATTTGAGTTCAGTTTAATCATAATCGCAAAAAGTGCAGGAACTTAGCGATGAGTAAATTTGCCCAGCGGCGCACGATGGTGTAGTCTTAAACGTAATTGCCTCTCAACCCTAAGGGCCTGGGTTCAATCCTAGTCGGCGCCATCGGGATTTTCTGAGGCATAAAATCTCTGATCACGCCTTCCTTCGGAAGGGTAGTAAAGCTGCTGGATGGGTCGATAGGTAGGGTCCAGTTGTAAGAAACACCTTCCTCGCGACGATAGTATTGGTACTCAGTACGGAAAAAAAAAAGAAATTAATTTGCTTCATGTTTTCCTGTGGAAAAACTAAAAAAATCTGCTGGGAAATTGACGAAAACTTTACTCAGCTTAGGAGTAGTACCAATAGACTGAGAGAATCCAATCTTTACTTTTCTCATATTTACTCATCACTGAGTTCCTGCACTTATGAATAAACTGAATTCAAATTTGGGTTGATCTCATTGGCCGGGTAGTGCGGATATAACAATCTTAAGCCGGTATGTTGTTTCGGCATTTTTGAATCAAATTGTTTCAGTTATCAATGTTTCTAGGAGTTGAAACACAAAGTATTTAGCCTAATTACTTGAAGCGTAATTTTATTCTCTAATCTATGTATAGAATATGTCATGGAATGCATTTTTTTCATTTTGTTTATTTGATAAGGCTTAATCGCGAGAGCCGTGATTTCTTCTTTGTGGCTTTACAAAACTTCTTAAATCTAGGTCTAGTAAGAGTAAGACCGGATAATTACGGTTTGTTCGAGCTTAGCGGCCGGGCTACATTTTTGTTTGTGGATAGGATTGGGAGAGGAGTCTGGAAGTAGAGTGTTTCTAGCGTGTTGACGGTAGTATCACCGACAAACCGACATGAATGACCATAGCAAAAACAATAAAATTTCTAATCAAAGCACACTACTAGCATCTGGCTCCGTGTTCGCCAGAAATATTTAGCTCAACCATGAACCCGCATGCAAAAGTTATGAATTGGTTAGTGTCTGATCTATTCTGGACAAATTATTTTTATCTAGATCAAAAACTCCTATGGTTTTGACAGTTCGGATCACTGGCCATTTAAATCGGCCGTTTACGATTTTCGGGCATAAGTTAGAATTAAGTGTCATGTCGGTTTGTCGGTGGTAGTATCAACAATCAATACGAAACTAACGATTTTAAATTGGCTCATTACATGACTAGACTATTGGCCCAAGCAAACGATTAACGTACCCCATTCTTGTCGAAATTCTACTACTACACAATGTTTGTTTTGATTCACTATGAAAGTTTGATAGATAAAATGAAGGATTAGTGGATTTTCCTATGTTTCGAGGGGTGAATCGATAAGCTTGGGACCGAAGAGAGTACCAGTGCTGAGCCAAAAAGGTGAGTACGTTATTTCGGGACCTTAGTCTTAGAGATACCTCTATGGTAGTATCTTGATTTTTTAACCAAACCCGGGATTTGGAATATCTGATATCTTGAAAAATATGTATGTTTGAACTATCGAAATAATTTCATTGGAACTTTCGCAAATTTGTTGTGCCATTTTCTATAGGAATTCCCGAGGGGGCGACACATCTAAATATGAATTCTAAATTCTTAACAAATCTCACACTAGCGAATCAATCTTCGGAAAATCTTCTTTCATTTCTCACATCTACTTGCATCGCACATCATCTTTTTGCAGAAAATCTTCAGAATCGTCATTAATTTTCTTTGTATATACCAACAATCAATACGAAACTAACGATTTTAAATTGGCTCACTACTTGACTAGCCTATTGGTCCCAAGCAAATCGATTACGTACCCCATTCTAGTCAAAATTCTAGTACTACACTATGTTTGTTTTGATTCGCTATGAAAGTTTGACAGATAAAATGAGGGGTTAGTGGATTTTCCTATGTTTCGAGGGGTGAATCGATTAGCTTGGGACCGAAGATAGTACCAGAGCTGAGCCAAAAAGTTGAGCACGTTTCTTCGGGACCTACTAGTCTTAGAGTTACCTCTATGTATATACTCAGCGTGCGCACAGCTAACCACAGCAAAACAAAAAAATTCCTGCATCGTAGATAGAGTCGCCCCCCTTGGGAATTCCTCAGAATGATTCTAGAATTTGCAGAAATGTTCTACAAACGTTCCCAAGAGAATCGTGTTTTTTTTTTACAACTGCTCAAAAAATTCATCACTTGATCGAGCAATTGATTTAAGATTTTTCAGACTTTAAGTCCGAGTGATAGGAAACGTCATTTTAAACTGTCCGAACGATGTGATATATTCACAAGTTTGAACATATTCCGTAAATTCAATAGTTTCCCAATGCTTATTTTAAGTAGCCATCATCTGGTTTGAAGATTCAAATTTGGCACAATTTGTTACATAAATTTCAACCGGGAGCTTCGCATCGGAGCATTTAAAAAGACTATCGCTCTTATCGCTGAACATCAACTCAGCTTTATTCAAATTAATCATTATTAAATTGGTTCTACCTGATTTATTGCCTAAGGCTGCATATTAGACTGATGTCAAATTTGAAATTGTCGCTCCACAGTGCTTAAACGGCTCCAAAAATTGGAACTCATTTAGTTAAAAACTGACTGTGTACAAACCATTTGAAGTTAATATGGGAATTACTATGGGAACAACAACGTTTGGATTCTTATCATTCTAACAATTCACCATATTCATACATACAATTTGGATAGCTGTACTTCTATATTTTTCTATTTTTCTCCGCTACAACTTTGCTGATGATCTTAAATGAACGGAATAAAAGTTATCAATGGTTCAAGACGCTGATATCTTATGATCATGCTCAATCAACTGCTCAATAGTAGGTGTCTCTGGCGCTTGGAATAGAGCACAAAAATCATGGCTACTATGTGACACTGCACTTGATCATGTCATAAGATTACCAATCTGTTAAATAATTAGGTAATACATTTTTCATATGTCGTTTGACTAAAACACAATCTTGAGCAAAGTTGTAGCAGAGATAATTTTCTAAAATAAAAGCTATCGAACATTTTCTCAGAGCAATATAAAAAAAGTGTAGAAGCCAATGATCAAAAAGTTTGGATTTCCCATTGTAATTCTCATACAAACTTCAAATGGTTTGTGCACATTCAGTTTCCAACCAATCGAGTTCAAATTTTAGGTGGCTAATCAGGACCCGGCTTGGAATCATTTAAGCACTGTGGAGCGAAGATTTAAAATTTTGCATCAGTCTACTGCATATCCTGTTGATGTTTACTTGGAGTTTTGTGTTAGTTCCCGTAGCTGCTTACGCTGGCGGTTTACAGTGGACTATGTATGTACTGACCGGGTGTGATATCGATCGGGTCATATCGATTGGATTGTTGGCCGGAATGCTGACTGTGTTGGCTGGTGCGATGCTCGGGTGGTTGGCCAGATGCTGACCGTGTAGACTGGTGCAATTGATGACTGTGCTATAGCTTGTATTATGACTGATGTGGTGGGTGATATGATCGGGCCGTTGGTAACTTTATACATATAGAGAATTGTTATAGGGTAAACGTCGGATCACTAAACCAATTCGCTGGATGTATTCTGGTTTCCTTAGGCTTCCAGCTTCAACCTAATAAGGTTTTATGGCTGACCAAACGCAATTTTACAGTTTTTTTTTCTTGAAATAAAACACACGCACTACAAAATACTGCTGATTTCGAGTTATCGATAATAGAACAGCAGATTAACAACCAGATCAAATGTAAAGGTTGCCACAAAAAAAGAGGCTGCCGACAATAGTGTGACATGTGCATACCACATGTCATTGCTACTTTTCTTTTGTAGTGGGAATATGCTGCGAAGCTTAATTACACCCGGCATCGAACCTTCAGTTCAATGCCTGGTCAAACCCTGTCAGCATTCATTGCGACAAACAGAAGTGTCGTATAACAATTTATTGAACCATACTGTTACCAAAAGTACAGTCATGGATTTTCTGATACTTTTCCATTCCCTCTTTCGCATGGCCGCCGATCACTGACTGGTGTTCGTGTAAATAGTAATTTATATATTCGGTGCTTCAAGTGTCTCCAACTAGGACTCTGTAAGAAAAATGAAAAAGCAAATAAATTAATTACGATCCAACGATCAAACACGACGTATCGTTTGAAACCGATATATCACGGTCATGGGTTCTGTGAACTAAGGACTTAACAATAGTCACACTCACCTGAGAAGCTTGAAGCGTTGTAAAAGTGCTTTTACCGTTGTTGACAATTCTATCGATTGAAATGGATAAACCACCAGGTAGCCGCTATTTGGAAAAGCCCATATAAGCGTGGACGCTGCTTAGATTGCTGAAAAGTCGCTATAGAGATAGTATAACCAAAGAAGAATACTAAGATGACTAGCAACAGTCGGAAGAAATAACTTTCTATTTTAGTGTCCTTTTTCACGGTCCCTTTCATTCATTTGCATGGTGTTCTGTGGTTATACTGCCCCCTCGGAAGAGTTGACAGTTAGCGCTTTTTTTGACGTAGAACTACGTCTTTGTCGACTATACTGGGGTGCAAGTCAAAAAATATGTGTGGTGAAGGAGTGTTAGGTTTTGAACGCTTGTAACTTTGTCATTTATAGATGAAATTAAAATCCAAATACGCCAATCGATAGGATATTACATTACGAACCTGTTGAAATAAATATTTTTCCAATTTTTCTGTAATTAAATTTTTGAAAATGTACAAATGATAATTTTATCGCTGATTTCATGAAATAAGCCTTTTTCCCAAACCCAGTCATCATAAACGAATACCACTTGGTTGCACATCATTCTGCTTGAACCTGAAAAGATATAAATCAGCGCTGCTCTCATGCCACTGCTCATTAACGCTTCGGACGGCGTGGCGCTTGGTCCTGCAGCAAGCAGGACCAAATCAGCGGCTTAAGGTGGATCACGGCGTGACCAC